TATTAGCACAAAAGTTCCAAACGATTAGAACAAACTTTTTTAGAGTCTCGTAAGAAGATGCCAAATGTACGATAAGACAGACAATTAATATAATTAATTAGAAACAATTAATCTTTCAACTTAATACGATATAGATTTTTTTCATAAAAATACTTTGTGTACAATATATAAGTTACTGTTTATATTATATAATATGTGAAGCAATATTCACGCTGTATAAAAGCGACTAATACGTTGTAAAATGCGGGTTGTGTCAAGCCAAACCAGGGGCCCTGGTTAAAATCAATAGTCTCCGACACTTCCTGCCTATATGTTTCAAATTCGCCGGCACGATTCGACACGATGGTTGTAACTTGTAAGTGAAAATCCCTTATCGCGAATATCTTCTTACGATTAGACTGTGAGCAGCAATTTGGCGTGTCAGAACCTGCTATACTCTCTCTCTCTCTCTCTCTCTCTCTCTCTCTCTCTCTCTCTCTCTCTCTCTCTCTCTCTCTCTCTTTCTTTCTCTTCATCTCTCAAGGTCTCTCACAAAGTATGAGAATAGGATTCCTCTTTTAGACGCGAGAATGCAGATAGATCGATCCCAACAAATGTCCGTTATTTTCTTGCAATATCTATGCGACATGTTGTTTCCTTTGTTAATGAGGAGAAGCTAATGGGAACTATTTTTAGAAACTGTAACTCGCATCTAATTTAATTCACATCACTCATTTAATTTAATTGAAAGTGTAATGCCAAACGCGATTTTTCATGTACGAAAGATGCTTATTTAGGTCGCAAAAAATTATAATTAAAAGCTCTATAATAAAAAAAAAATTTATAGAGGTATCTTTTATTTTTATAAGAAATGAAAAATGTTCTCTACGTCTACCGGTAATTTTAAACAATTGCGATGCAGGTTGACTCGACAAACAGTGTGAGACACACGCGGCGGCCAAACTAAGATATTATACAATCATTTGATGTATTTAATGTTTTGCATTCAAAAAGAGTATCAAACATTAAAAACTTATAAACTAAAAATGTATGATTAAGAAACTTTTTTCTATCCTTAAAGATTCTTTATCGTTAAACATGATAAATGTGATTTGTTATAAGGAACACACAGTGAGTGCAAAAATATTCGTATAAGGAAATTTATTATAAAAAAGTTTTATTTGTAGAAAATAAACATTAATTAGCAATTTTATACAATGAACACATTCTGTTCTAACATAAACAAAATTCGTCTGTGTTTCTGATTTTAGAAGCTAAATTTCTTGGTTGTACGCATTACTTTTTGAGCATCTAAACAATGTAATTTTTTAATTTTTGCTTATTTTTCAGATTACACATTTTCTATAATTAATACACATCTTTTTGGTATATATAATTTTTTAAGAAATATACAATCTATTTTATTCTTTATAAATAAATTGTTAATTACTCAGTAAGAAATGATCATCAATTAAAATTACGTTGAATCGTCAAATTGATGTTGAAATCATTGTATCGCTATCGATTCGACTCTATCAGTTCGATTACTCATTTGTCGCTGGATAATATTTATTTTTTGAAAATAAAGTTTTTTTAAAAAACATTTTCTCTGTACGAATACTTTTTGCACTCACTGTATATAAGTATACAATAATATCTAAATTTCACAAAAAATTATGAATAGGATAATAATAATAATAATAATAATAATAATAATAATAATAATAATAATAATAATAATATTGTACATTAAAGTGCTTCTCAAGAAAAGTGGTCTAGTTCGTAAATCGTTTTTAATTTTTTCCAAATGTAACCACAGTACTTAACAAATATGTAGACACGCAGATTAATCTGCGTCTGGAAAAGAACTCAATAGTTACGCAAGGTAAACTGCTTCTTCTCAATTATCGTACGATTGACGCCTATCGAGTAATTACGTCATTTTTCTTAATGAGAGATACCGTATGCGGACACATGCGTGCATTTAATTCATGACTGCGCATGAAATGTACGAGAGCTCTCTTTGAGACGACATTGTTGTCCTTGGACCGTATCCCACGATCGTGTTTTTTCGTGTGCTACGTAAAACGATCACGCAAAGATGCACACGCGTAAAACTGGCATTGAATTGCTTAAACGCAAAATATTATCCAACGTTTCTCACATCTCATTTTAATGAGAAACCACAATAATCAAATTTATTTCTATTCTATATGTAGGCATACGCTTTGATTATTTCTTAACTGACACACGTTAAGAAGATTGCAATCGTTAATACATATATTGATCTTGTTTATATTACATCTATTACATCTATTAACATCATATTCTATGGGTTTTATGCGAAGAGAAGAACGATCCGCCTGTCTATTCTACATTCGTGTCGTAAATACATGCACAGGAAATGATTGAACATAAGTCACACCTGGCTTCCTCTATCACGGCATTTATGTTTGAGAATTGATGCCGGCAACCCGCGTTTCGATTGACCGACTTAGCGACCTAATCAAATTGAATTTTGCATAGTGCATCATCGTGAAAACGCAATGATGAACGATAAGAAGGGATTTTTAAGAAGGGATGAGATTGTTTCGATCAACAATAGCTAGATAAAACTCTAAAACTAGGCAAATAGCAACAAAAGGAAGCAGAGCAAGATAAGTAACTAGCAAAAATTGCCGTGAATAATAGTATACTACGACATGCTTCGAAAGCCATATATGTCAATCTTTTAATTTAGTCATACTATGTGTCGCATCGAAATCATGATAGCTTATCATACATCAATAATTGACTAATATAAATTGTATTAATTGATAATAACATTATAAATTGTACTAATTAATGGACTTGTAATCTTTTGATAGGAAGTGCTAGAATTTTTCAAGTGAAGAATTTTTTAGAATTTTTTTCAGAAAAAAAATTCTAATGATCGAGTAGTAAATCCGAGAATACAGAATACAATGTTTACATTCGATTTGGAATACAATATATTGATTGTATGAAAATAACAGAATATTATTTCGTAGAAATCAAATGACAACATTAAATGCTTAAATATGAGATGCAACACACTTATATCCTGCAAATAGCATAGCAGTTTATAAATTCACTATAAATTCTTACAAACAGTAATATTAAATAATAGATAGTTTACAAAGTATTATATTAATTATTATCTAATTAAACAATCGAATAAAAATCTTTTAATTTACTTTACCCGACGATTAATTTGGATTCTAATTTGGCAAACTGCTGTTAGTTTCTTATAATGCTCGGTAAAAATACTAATAATTATAATTACAAATTTCAACAGAATAAGTAGACTCTATACAGAGTGTTTCAAAATTCGCGCCCGCAAAGTACAAGATGTGATACTTTACTAAAAACAAACAACTTTTTCCTTTAACAAAACTGCATCCGATAAATAATTTTTATTTGTTAATTTCAACCTGCTCTCCTGCCAGAACTACTTGTTAGACGCAATTTTGCAAAAGAAAAAAGTTGTTTTTTTTTTAGCATAAAGTATCACATCTTGTACTTCGCGGGCACGAATTTTTAAATACTTTGTATATTTAATGATTAAAATGGTTATTATGTTATTGACTAATTAGGGGCAATAAAAATAACGTGTTCTCTGTTGAAATAAACGTGTAATAAAATATTATAAAAGTCCAACGCAGAATAGAAGAAATGCACAATGAATATTTTATTTGTTTAATTTTTATTTCTAATTTTTTTATTTCTTTAATATTTAATATATATTTATTTCTGCTATTTCCACAATATCTCTTTCATTGCGTGCCTTACACGAATAATACAATTAAATTAATAATATATATACATTTTCCATGTGATTGTACATCGAGTATATCGCGTCATTTTTTACGCATCGTCGCAAATCACGTCTTTGTTTATCCCGTATTCATTCGTACTCGCTCGTGAGAGATTGTAAAGATAAAAAAAATTGTCGAATGATTGGGGAACGTGTTGCTTAATTTCTAATCAACGACATTTTCGTCTCAACAGGAAGATTCTTCTCGTCGCGTTTCTTTCCGTCGAAAAGAATCACGCGGGCGCCAGAAATGTCTCCGGTTAATTTTTCATATTTTTACTCTCGCAAAAATCGGCATAATCCGAAACAATTCGCGGATTAGTAGAGGCTGTCTAGGCTGCGATTGAATAGCAGCCTAGATATACTACGATTTTTCGATCTGAAAACCGTCAATGCCGCAAACGTATTTTACCGGCGCGGCAGAGAGTTTTCCCGACATTAGGTCGGCGAGTCGAGTCGACGAACTATTGATTCGCAGAGCGCTGCGCCGACCCTGCGTCACTTCTGACCGCACCGTTCACCGCTTCTCAGTACCGTATGATTTTCCCTGTGCATTTTCCATCATGTCTTCTACTGTGTTATATTATCTATATTGCAAATCCTAAACACATTAAAAGTATTTCTGCTTGAGTTTTTCTATCAAAATCTATATAGATATAAAATCTGTATAGATTGAATTGAGGAACGTATCGATACAAATTTCCAAGTCCTTTATTCTTTTTCAACGAATCTTCATTATCTGTAATTATTTGCCGATCCTAACGAAGAAGAAAAACAATTGATAAGTATTGCATTCAAGATATGATGAGTTGGAGGTTTTAACTATTCCTAGAAATTAGAAAATTCTAAAGTTCCAATAAGACAATGCAGATTTTTCTAATAAATAATGTTAAATTAAATGTAGTTAGTGCTTGAATCTAACGGTATGACGATTGTTCCGTTTGCAGAATCAGTGAGAAAGAGGAAGAGAGAGAGAGAGAGAGAGAGAGAGAGAGAGAGAGAGAGAGAGAGAGAGAGAGAGAGCTTTCTACTTTCAATAGGTAGTAACTAGTACGTACTAATTAAAGACAAGAGGCTAAAATTGGAATTTAAATCTTTCATTAGCATCATCGAATTAAAATTAATCAATAAAAACAAAAATCTTTAAAGCTTTTCGATAATGCAAATGTAATAATAAGGTATATTCGTGTTGTCGAAAAGATCTAGAAATTTTTTTTTAATTCTAATTTTTTGATTCTTTACCTTTAACTTTACGTTTAGATTCGTTTTATTTAAAAAATGGATTACGAATCACAATAGGACACTAACCTTGCCACGAGACAACACTACTTTCATTTGTCACATTTTAGCTGAGATGTTACAATGGTCACGCTTTTTTTTTACGAATGTTCGTCACATTTTATATTTATTCCGATGCCACATAATAACTATTCAAGCTCGAACTATAGAGACTGCAACCTAACAATAGATTGTCGATATAGGCGTTACTTAATGACGACGCTTCTTTCTATTTTATCGTTTCTATTGACGTTGGCACATCATAGAAACGTGTCTAGTGTAGAGTGTAGGTATAGCTTCCGCAAATGATGCCCTACATTTTCTAAATCGGTGCCTCACAATGGTTATGTGTACACAAAATTGCAGCGTAAACATTATTTAACGCTTATCTTTCGTGTCAAGCGAGCATTTCTTATTTCTATGATGACTATCTCGTATACATATAATATATCCTTTAAAAACATTGTGTAATTCTGTAGGCTATTAAAAAAATTCAATGTATCATTAATGTGAGATGTAAAATTTAGATTTAGATCAAGATTTTCTATTTCGTAATTTTCATATACGACATACTTTTGAATATTTTTAAATTCTGACTCTTCATGCAATTTATATAGGTACATACGTATGTATAAATGATAAAAGATAATAAAATCATCGAATCGCCATAAAATCAACAGTATGAATTAGCTACAGACTTCGCTGTTTTAGTAGAGAATAATTT